GTCGATTCCACAAGAAGAGGACTTCTGCTCGTCTACACTGGACCACACAGGGTAATTTCAAGGTCCAATAAGTATTTTACGATCGAATGCAAAGGAAATACTTACGTCGTATCAACCGACCGCGTGAAACCAGCATTTCTTCATTTTTGTGACGTCGAAACCACAACTGTCAAACTTCACATTTCTCCGTTGAAACCGCAGTCAAATCCTGATAGCGAACTAAGAGAAAACTCCCCCACTTTTAACGCGCCAACACAAAACCACCTTACTCGACATGGACGGATAATTCGCCCACCATAGCAATTAGACGATTTTATTCTAGCGCCTATTTTTGAAATAAACATTTAGGTTAAAAGCGTAACTTTTTACTTTCTTGTGTATATATATAGCACCATTAAAGCGTAACACCACAACATATGATCTATTCATTCGCCGTAATCATTTTTTTATCACTTTCACGTATTTTATCAGCTTCTCCCATCGGTTGTTTTTGTCTAATGATTTAATACGTCTGTCAGCCCAAAATTCTGTCACTACCTTATTGAATTTATCACCGTCTGCTATTCTCACTTCGCCTATCTCAGAATTTTTAAATATCATGCGACTCTTTCCATGTCAGCACCCTAAAATGCTTTAAGACATAATCGAGTAAAGTATTATTGGACACGTTTAGTGGCCATAACGATCGTTTCAAAATTTTGTTGTTATTGTTATTTGTCTCCGTCTCCATTTTAAAAAAATCGCTTTTCTCTTCGAATACTGGACCAATTGCTTTGATATTTTCAGTGGTTAAAGATAAAATTTTTCTCCAGAAGGCTATTACTTTTTTTTTCGCTATGACGTCATCAAAATTATTGCCACTGGGTGGCGCTACGTGTCCATATATTTGAGCATAGCTCTCTTGTTTGTCGTGTTTTCATTTTTGACAGCCCCTGTATTGTCTCTATAAAGCGGGTATTCCTGGGCATGTTCCATATTATATATGTTTCTGTTTCTTTACTTTTATCAATTTTCCACTGTTCCAATTCTTTATATAGTTTGGGTTTCAATAATTTTTCCTACTGTTTTAATTAACACCTGTGCTGTTTCTGTTGCCGGCTGCGATAATTTCATGATTAATGAGAATATTTTGTTGTTCAGCTGTGTTATGTTTGCACTTTCAATTTTAAATTACCAGCAGTCACATCTCTTATCTCCACGTCAATCAAGTGCAATGGTGAAATTCGGCAAATCAAGTTAATTGGATTTCATCGTTAATTTCACCATTTCACTGTCTACTCACTAACTATTCATTCGTATTTCTAATGTTTATTTATTTACTTCACCACATTCATAGAATATTACATATAGTCATATTTTCGCAAATCTCACCTCCTATTTATTGTTGTTGACAATTATTACGTCATACACTGACGACAACAAGGTTTTGCTGCTATGTATATAATTGTACTATACATTGCTATAATCATCTGCTATTACTTAACTGTAAATCAATCTCTTTTTATTTGTTTAATTGTGGTCACACCTGTACCCACTTCTAACTAACAATAATTTATTGTAATATTTCACTTCCATTTCATATTCATCTTTCTGTGCTGCCCTTGGATTCACGTATCCGTTCACGAAGCCTTTACAAAGTGGGGGGAACTCATATAGCGACCCCTAGGCTCAGGTCACATGACCTGTGACGCGCTGCCATGTTTTGGATTCTGTTTTGATAGATAATTTAACGCACTCTATTTTGTGCTTTTATAACGTCGCTATTTCAATACAACAAATACCTTGCACTTTTACCTAGGGTCCTAAAGACTTGAAAGCGGACAGAAATAAGGAAGCGCAGTCTCGGCACGCCACGACAATAATAGCAACGAACCCTGCACTACGAGGTTTGCCTAATTCCTGGATCGTACTCGTATGTTCTGTCGTGTACATGTTTCTACCAGACATTGGTATGATAAAATCAATTTGTTTATGTCAGTCCAGCAAAATAAATTTAGATGTGGCAGAGGAAATGACGTCCATGCCTATGAAAACAAAAACCTGGCTGGCTAACTAATACCACATCCAACATGGACTGACTGCCGAACTAGACCCGTGGTCCGTCACGTGTTTAAGCCGTCTTATCGGTTTTCCTTTCCCCCGGGATAAATATGTAACTCCTATCCTAATTGTTGTTGTTGCAAAGGAAAAATGGCGGGAAAATGCAAAACGATCATAAAAATTGCTTCCAACTACATAATCAGACAATGGATGATTCAAATTTCAGTTTCTGAATTGAGCGTCTTTGCTTTTACTTTTCTACAGTTAAATATAGCATTGGGAAATGACTCAAAAAAACGCAGACTATTCGACTTACGCGCGGCGTAGAAACTTCGAAATCAGCGAAATGCAAAACCACGAAACTGCTCTCAAATAGGCCGAGTCGAGGTTCATTTTGACCTATATCATGTTTGTCGTTTCACTGACTTGTCGAACTTGGCACTCAAAAATATTGCATGCCGTCCTATCGGTTTCTTTTCCTCGTTTAATCTTAAATATTTCCAGCCCAACAGAAATTCTGATGTCAATCGTGGAAATTAGGGGAATCAGTAATGGACTGATAAGAGGTTTTTCCCGGGTCAAAGATCATTAGAAATTGATTGATTTACAGATTGTTTCCATGAGAAGGTTAACATCTTTTCCAAAACGAAAATTCTTGAAATGAGACACGGAAAGCCCGATTTAAATGTAAAATGAGATCTAAAATCTTAATTTTATATTTTGCAGAGTTTTATGGCATATATACGGGTTTAATTGGCAGCCATTTCTAAAGTCACATTCAAATTGCCTGTGAGGGCCAAACCTGTACAATAAGACTAGATTATTGTCTTGTTTCGATCGAGTGCGGGAGCCAATATTTAACTAATGGGCGATCCGGATGTATTCGCCCCAAGATGACGCATATCCTGAACCGTAACTTGGACACATACTATGTTCAGGTTGTGCGCCATTTTGGTACATATACCTCGGGAGCACCAACTCATGACATTCTGAAAATCCTCACGAGTTTCACACGAGATGTAGCTTTGGAAATCACGCAAAACAAGACAATACATATCATTTCAGTCACGTTGCATAAGGCGTACATAAATTCCTATTTACATGTCGATATAATGCAAAACAATAATGCAACTGGTTTTCTTTCAGGATGGGTGACTCATTATCACTTTTTGTCAGCCAAGCAAAAAATAATTTCAATGTGACAGAGGAAATGACGTAAATGGTTGCTACGCGAAGAAGGGTTCAGGATAAAACAGTGATAAAATGCGCAGTAAGATATTATTTGTAAGGCTTGAGCTATGAGGACTAACAGTTATAAATTGAATAGGCACAGGAATGTGTAAATTTGGCAGTTGTGATGTGAATGGTTTGATATGGGTGGTAACGGACTGTGATGACCTTATCGGTCGTATCGTTACCTCCCAGTCATTTACTGAAAACTCTGAATTCTTATTTTGTATATACGTATATGATCGTTTTGTTTTTCCGGTTTGACGGAAAAGCAATAAATTCCCTTCCTCTCTGTCAGTAAAAGATCGTCAGAGGTCCGCAGTGTATGATTGATATTTGTGGTTCGTTCATGTTAGTTCGTTGGATAATGCGTAATTCAAGCAACTTTGCGAGAAGAGTAAGTCAAAACCAGAAACGTTTGAGTTCCAGTAGACTTGAAATTATTTGGGTGGCGCACCAAATAATATTGTAAAGCCTATCCTTAATTAAATAATATTAATGTTACTGCGTCTTTTTCTACGAAATTTTTTTCTGGGTCAAAGGTCATTGAAAAAAATTGATTGATTTCCGGATGTTTCCATGAGAAGTTTCACATCTTTACCACAAAAATTTATGAAATCTGAAGCTAAAAGCCCGTTCTAAATGCAAAATGAGATCGAAAATCCAAATCTTATATTTTGCAGAGATTTTATGGCATGTCTAGGGGGTTTAATTGGCAGCCATTTTTAAAGTCTCAAATTGCCTGTGCCTGTACCATAAAACTAGAATATTTCCTTGTTTCGATCAAGTGCGGGCTTCAATATTAAACTAATGGGCGCTCCGGATGTATTCGCACTAAGATGACGCACAACCTGAACCGTAACTTGGACATATACTATGTTCAGGTTGTGCGCCATTTTGGTACATATACCTCGGGAGCACCAACTCATGACATTGTGAAAATCCTCACGAGTTTCACACGAGATGTAGACGCGAAACAAGACAATACAAACCATTTAAGTCACGTTGCATAAGGCGCACATAAAATTCCTATTTACATGTCGATATAATGCAAAACAATAATGCAACTGGTTTTCTTTGCAAGATGGGTGACTCATTATCACTTTTTTCAGCCAAGCAAAATAATTTCAATGTGACAGAGGAAATGACGTAAATGGTTGCTACGCGATGAAGGGTTCAGGATTGAACAGCAATAAAATGCGCAGTAACAGAATATTTGTAAGGCTTGAGGTATGAGGAATAGCAGTTATAAATTGAATAGGGACAGGAATGTGTAAATCTGGCAGCTATGATGTAAAGAAGTTCCAGTAAAAGATAGTCGAGGTAGTTGTCAGGTCTGCAGTGTATGATTTATATTTGTGGTTCGTTCATGTTAGTTTGTTGGATCATGCGTAATTCAAGCAACACAGTCACGTTGCTAGTGCGTGCATAAATCTTACATTCAACTGTCGATAAAATGCAAAACAATAATGCACCTGGTTTTCTTCGCATGATGGGTGACTCATTATCACTTTTTGCCGCCAAGCAAAATGAATTTCAATGTGACAGAGGAAATGACGTAAATGATTGTTGATACGCTAAAACGGGTTCAGTATTAAACAGTGATAAAATGCGCAGCAAGATATTATTTGATAAGACTTGAGGTATGAGGACTAGCAGGAGTAGCAAATCTCAATTTAGACAGCTAATTATGGCGGCACCGAACATATAAAAGCCTTGAATATTTTTACAGATATTCACTTTATAACTAAGCCTTTAGTTGTGTCATCAAGCCTTTCTAGAAGTGAACATGGACTTCGTCAAAATTATTTTGTTCATCTCTCTCATCTATGGATTATATGCGAAGCAAAAACTACCCGGTAAAATTTGTTTCGATAAAATCACTGTTAGATTTTGTAACACTGAATTGCATGCCTGGCTTCTGATACCAAGAATGCTACAATACCGAAGATTCCTAAATCATTTTAAAAATATCACTCTCTATCAGTATTGCAATTGGCGCAAGATGTCGTTATATTCAACTTCACGTTTTTTTCTTAACAGCTGGAGCCTGCGTTTCCAAGATCGTGAATGGGAAACTGGTACAAGTTGGGGATTGCGAGGTGAAATTAAAGTTGTTATTTTTTAATCTAGCATTTTCACACTTCGACTCCAACCAAGACTTTGGGCAAGCAGGCAACGATCTCTCTAATTAGCAGCATCTAGAACACAAAAAGAAAAAACATAAACTGTTAAACTATTTCACTCAAGTTCGGCGGGCCATTTTAAATTGTTACGCGGGTAGTAGTTAGCCTGCCGGCCGCGATCTGGGAACCACTGTTCAAGGAACGCTAATGTTTTAACTGACTGGAAGTTTTATTTTTTGAATCGCGTAAACAATTTTAAATCCGACGTGTGCATGCATGTCACGCAACTAATAAAATCTGATACAACTTACGTGTTATAATTACTCTACTAAACATTTGCGTTTTTAATTTATTTCACAGAAAAACGATGGATCCGGTGAGTTCTTCCTACTCTATGATATACCCTGTACTAAACGATTCGTAATTACGCACGGGTCCAAAATAACCTGTCCAATAGTAACAGTTTTCAAATAAAACTTTTAATTCCGAATTAGGCTCTTATTTGGTGAAACGCCGCTTCCTAACATTTTTTTGGCATTGCATTTCAATTGCCTGTTATTTTCAATCTTGTAAAAAGTTTGGCAAAACTCATTCACAACGATTTTTGTGATTAATATTTGTTATCAGGATAGATAAATTCTAGATCTGGACTTTGCTAAAAAAAAATTTAACAACGCTTTTATATGCTGTTGTCATATTATGGTTAGTTAAAGTTATTTAATGTCATACGAGGAAAAATAACATGGCAAGACTGATTAAAACGTCTTTCCTTACTCACAAATGAATCAATTTCTTACAGATATCGTCAGACTGATCAAGAAGAGTCGTGATGAGAAGATAAAGGCTGAAAGTAATTTATTTTGTGTTTTATGATTTGACTATAAAATATGCCACGGCCGCCAAGCGCTAGAAATGGATGTCGCGTGGGTTTAAAAATAGATTTAATTTACCTAATATTACAAGTATTGGACTCCTGGTCGTCGCTGCGTGATTAACCCCACCACTAGTCGGTTACGACTCCGTCCACCACCATACATCTGAACGATCTGTTCCGCCGTTCTTAGTTCGTCTTATCGGCTTTTCTCACCCTAGAATTAATAGAATTCAGGAAGAAGTTGAATTGAACTATAAAACCGACTTTTGATTCTATGACGTCATTTCTGAAGGTGTCATTTTTTTAAATTAAATATTCAATGACTACAATAATGTTTTCAGATAAGTGTGAAGTCACATACAAGAAAAAATGCTACCGAGCAGTTGTGTATGATGTACGGAATGTTACCTTCCACGATGCCAAAGCAATCTGCAAATCAATGAACGGAAAACCCGCGAATATTTACGATCTCAAGCATTACCAGCTGCTGCTCCCTCATCTACGTTCAGTGATTCCTGCTGGTCGGACATGGATGTGGTTCTGGACTGGGATGAAATATAAGGTCAGTTGATGAATCACAATCTCAGCAGAGTTTGATTCTTTTTTGTAAACTTCATCTTGGGTACAATTTACCAAAAGCGGTTTATTATTAAAAGTTTCAAATGATGGGCAGGTAAACGATGCCTTATTGTTAATTTGGGCGATAAATAAAAATTAAAAATATTAAACATGATTTTCAAGATATTATGACGTCATATCCGAGTCGTCCGATCGCGTTTTTTTTTAAATTCCAAATATTTTAGCATTTTTAATGCATTAATTTCTGCTTTTTACCCATTTATGTAACGTTCCACCCCATACGTCTATTCTGACCACCTTTACTATGGAGCCTATTACTACACGCAAATATTTTCACAATATGTCAGTCGCATTAACATTTCAAGCAACAGATTTAAAAACTGTTTATTCAATTGTTACAGAACAATCAGCTTTTGCTGTTTGGTGGAAAACCCATCACTATAGCAACAGAAGTGTTGCATCCTTATTATCCGAGATCCTATGCATCGTTGACAAATGTTGCTGTTGGTATCAATAAAGATCCTGAGGATGCACGTCAGGGAATGTTAAATTATTTACCATCCTTGTCAATCCACGGTGTCATCTGTGAAATATAAAACCAGATCAAAACCTGACAGAACTTCGTTGGTGGATTAAATGATAAAAAAGACAAAAACAGTTAAATGACTGTTGTTATGTATATAGATTTTAAATTTTTGTTTGCTTTTCTATGGCCGTTGTTCTAAATGTTCTAATTATAATAGGTCCATGTCTGATTATGCAAAATTTATAAGCTGCCCATAAATGATCTGATCTTAAATACTTCTTCAATTTGACTGAATCGCATATTTTTACAAAGTCTTTCCAAGCCTTAAAACCTTTAAATCCTGATTTTATTTATGAAAGAAGACTAAATTACATGTTTATGAAAGTTAAATTACTGATATTTTTACTTGTGCATTTTATTCCACACTGAAGTCGGCCTGTGATTATGATTAGACAAAGGCCACACAAGTATGCTTGTCTTAATAAATGAAACTTGCTTTTACTTATTATTACTTACTTTCAGTGGCAGAATTCAAAAATCTTAGAACGGGTTCTCTTTTACATCGATCTCGCTAACAACGGGTTCTCTCATTTTAGAGATACATGCTGAACTAAATCATGAAAAAAAACAAGAACGGTTTGCAAAAGACCCCTTGAATCCTGCCATTGCTTACTTATACATTGTTCCTTTACTATTATTCTATTATTAACCGTATAACCCATGCCTTGAATTGGTCGCCTTGTCTATTGAAAACTTTTGCTCAGTAAATAAATCCATATCTGTCTCCATGTGATTTCTGTATATAACCAAACATGATAATAAATATTGATTCGATCAGTTTTGGTTTCTTTGTTATTGTTCTGAACCAGTGAGTCAGTTATTGGAAAAGCACATGATACGGGATATCTGGAAAAAGCGTTGAATCTACCCTCGTTCACAGATTACACATAAAACAATTTATTGAGATTCTCTTCCTAAACCTACTATCTAATATGACCAACACGGTACTGGTACCAACACGGTACTGGTAACCGGACGAGAGGCCGCGGTCCGTCATTTTATTAGGGCTGCAAAATACAAACAGCCAAATAGAACACGCTTTCGTCGCCTACAACCATAACACTTTGAATGCACCCGATCTCGTTAGATCTCCGAAGTTAACTTTAGTGTGGAAAACAGAGCTTTATGCAGGATATATGACGAGATATTATTTTTGGAAAGACTGTACTCTTTGCAGTTCAGCACTTCCTTCTCACTTTGGTAAGCCTTCGATAAGCAGGGTGGCTGATTTATTAATCTTGAACGAAGGACTAGAAAAATATAGCTTATATAGTACACTTTTATGTTTTGAACATAATTCGAGGTTTCGGCAACTTTTTTGTATCTACATCCTGTGTGTTGCCATATTTTGTACCATGGTAGAGTTCAAAACAGAATATCCATCTTTAAGCAGGCTATCAACCTAGCCACCCAATCATTTCCTGCACAACATAAGTTAAATTACATCAATGCTGCTATCTCTGTGTTTGTGCATATACGGTAAAACAACAACAGTTAAAAACACCGTAACAGTAAACAACAATTAACAAAGTAAAGTGTAGGGCGTGTATAAAGTCCTAAAATAGAGGAGGGAATTTATCGATACCATATATAGTTTTGGCTCTCACAGATGTAGTAAATGAAGTAAAAATACTTAAAACAATTACTGATTAAAAAGCAACAAACCATGTTAAGATATAATGAGAACTTACCGCATAACTCAAGAACTGACTTCATGGTGTCAATGAAAAAACTTTATGGACACCCTATATATTGTTAGATATAAATGGTTGCTTGAACAGAATGCTTTATAACAAGCATGTTTGAAACTTTCCTGAAGTTCGGTTCTAACTATTTATCTTGTGTGTAGTCAATCCTGGTCTTATATCCTATGGACACGACTTCATTGCTGCTTTCCTCCCTGGACTCTGTGTTAAAATAAAAATTTATTAATCATGCGAATCCCACTTTACAAGAGAAGATTTATTGGTTCTCCTCCTGCTGCAAAATCCAGTCCAATATTTCACCATTCTACCCATTCCACGGTGTCATCTGGGAAATATAAAACCAGATCAAAACCTGACAGAACTTTGTTGACGGATTTGATGATAAAAAAGACAAAACTTAAATAACTGTTGTTATCTATATAGATTTTCATTAACATTTTTGTTCGCTTTTCTATGGCCGATGTCTTAAATGTTCTAGTTATCATAGACCAATGTCTGAATATGCACAACTTATAAGAAGCGCATAAATTATCCGATCTTTAATTTCCTCGCCAATTTTATTTAATCGCCTAATTTATCCAAAGTCCCCTTTCCAGCTATTAAATCCTGATGTTATTTATGAGAGATGATTAAATTACGTGTTCTTAAAAGTTAAATGACTGATATTTTTATTTGTACATTTATTTCACAATGAAGTCGGCCTGTGATTATGATTAGACAATGGCCGCACAAGTATGTTCGTCTGTATAAATGAAACTTGCTTCACTTACTTTCAGTGGCGGGATTGAACGAGTTCTCGTATGATCGAACTTGCTAACAACGGGTTTCCTCATTTCAGAGAAACATGTTGAACTAAACTAATAATGAAACAAGAATGTTTGCGAGAGCCCCTTATAACGATATCTGGATAATGCGTTGGACTTGACTAGTTTGGCCTTGTAGGTTGAAATCTTGGGTTCGAATCATATACACACTAGTTCATTCAGGCTGTAATAAATCCACTCATGTCTTCTATTGCAGTGGTTCCCATAATTGATTGACCGGGGGCCGAAATTGGAAGCGGAAGGATGTTTGCGGGCCAAGAGGGCGAGGGCGCCCGCAAGGGGCGATACCGGTACGATTGAATTGTTACGACATGTTTAAACTGTGACAATGATTTTGGTGGTATGTAGAACGTAAAAATTATTGAAGGTTTGTGGCGATCAAAGAACACATGACGGATGGCGATGGTAGACAGTTAAATAAGCTTCAATGAAGAAAGTGACGATTAAAGCTTTTGGCGCATAGTCAGACAGTCACTTTTTATAAATTACTTGCCCTTATCCTGAAATTAGACCAGATATCGATAACACAACAAATATTGAGCAAATGCTACATATATATTAAAATTGTCAGAAGCAAAACGGTATAATAAAATACAATCTTGTCTTCTTAACAAATCAACAAATCAAACCATTGAAGAAAAATCATGAATGCATAGATTAGATTAATTGATGAATGCTAGCATAGACATATAGAATCGGTTGCGAAAATGATCATGACTAGGCTAACCGTATATATGAAGCAGAATGCAATGAGAGTGCGAATTAGACAAACCTTGGTTTGATTCCAAGGCCTAGTACTATTCGACTCATATGAATAATAATATTGAAATCATTGGGAAACGTGCATTTTTTCGACATTTCAAATAATTTAGCAACATTACAGCCAATGTTAGACGTCAAATTGTCGTATTAATTAATTAGTTATAGTTATATACAGTATATAGAACATTCTCACTCTTACTGAACCAGTGAAGTGAGCCACCAATCAGTGATAAAATGGACTGCCTCTAATAACAAATGAAACAAATATAGATATTTGAACAGTTGTTATGGACTGTCATACTGCATAGCCGGAACAAACAAGCCTACCGGGCGGAACAGCTTTTCAAAATCGAGACTGTCCAGGATATCCAGGGAAGTATGGTTATTCTGATCATGACAAAGCTGTAGTTATAGTTGAAAATACTTTTGCAAGACTACATTGCGCAATTTTTCTTCCGGCTAAGGATGTTCTCAAACAAAATTCTTTGCAAGTTAGCTGCTCATATCTGCTTGTCAGTCAGTCAGGTCTCCACAATCTCACCGCAATTCAATGCTCGTTCAACATCGTTTTATCTGTTATTGTCTCAGTTTGTTCGAGCTTCGTCCTTGATTTATTCAACTTGTACATTCTATAGGAATCTCTGGAATGTTATCACAGTTAAAAATGTTGTTCGTCTTTTCTGGTATTTTCTCTACTTTTTCGGTCATCGTCCGTGATTTAACCAACTTGAACATTGCATGAGAATCTCTGTAACAAAATTATAATTGAAAACGTGACTTAGCGATTGAAGGATGCGGTTGCTCACCAAATTATAGTTACTGCTTTTTTCAAGACCGGGCTAAATAACAAACATATAGACAGACTTGAGTAATTGCCCGAGGGAAATTGGAGTTTTTTTGTAGTTTTGTAATTGGGTGCCAATAAATTATTATTTTTTAACATATTAGGGCCAACACAAGTTTAAATGTTTGCAGATCTTTTGTATGCGTTCAATTCGTCTCTTGGCAGAATGCTTTTGACAAACGCACCATCAACATTATACATACTCATCTGTGTTCCCAAGGACAAATGTTTCGCTGTCCACTGATAATATACTGACGTCATACTCATCAATAGATGGCCACGTCTTCTCCATGTCAATCATCTTCCACGAGTTTGCTTTAATATCGAAGCCTTGTTATCCTCTTTTGTCTGGATAGAAAGAATACAAATTTAATTCGTATGTTTTGAACGATGATTGGTTTGATTCATTATCCCCCAAGAAGAGTTCAATATTACTTGCGAGCACACGCTGGGTAGTCATAGGTGCGGTGGCGAGCGTAATTCTAACGCTCAGCAAGGTATGTCACAGAGCCGAGCCGAAACGTATGACGCATACACTTCATGTCCAAAGTTATCAAATACTTGCATTATATATAGTTTTCTTCTAAACAGCCACGCTTGCTTTTGCAACTCCTCTCAGCATCTGACAACAAACTTCCCACTTATCCAATCTTGGGTTAAATCTTTCAACAAGAAGTATATTCCTTAGTTGGCTGTCACTTCCTCCGATACAATAAAAGTGATCTGGATGGAATAGGTGTTTGAGTCAGCTCCGAGAAAATCAACATTGTCGACAAAATTATTAACGAGAGCAGGCATTCAGTAAATGTCTATTAGTAACGCTTAGAATGGATAATGATTTTTGACATTTTGTACAAAATTCCCACTGCGATTTTCAACATTGTTTGGTCGAAATTCTGACAACAGCAAATTCAAAATTTCAACTTTTATACATTTTTTCGCTAAATGTTGAGGTGAATTGCTCATTTTCTATTGAAGTTATATTTTTAAAATGCAATATTGTTATGTAACTCTCTTCTTATGAGTTTATATTGTGTGTGACAAGTCAGGGAACTAGACTAGATAGATTTTTTTTGTGTTGTGAGTACCCATTGCAATAAAAAAATTATTTACAACTACATGCCTTTCAAGTATTTGAGATTCAATTCGAAAAAATTATCTGATTCTGAAATCATCAAGTATTTGAAAAAAGCCAGCCCTAGTACGTGCCTTTGACTGCATCCAACGAAGGCGATATTCTCCCAATTATCTTTTCCAATTGATTAACAGCTGGATCATATCTACAATCGTCAAGCCCCGCAGTCCACCACAAACGTATAATAAGCCTGGAATAGTAAGATGAAGGGTAAAAGTTAGCTCAGGGAAACTGTTCGTTATTGGACACGAAATGAACTTGTTCAGTCAGTTAATTTCTGAAATATTAAGAATCTCTCACGTTTTACTCGTGTAAAAACGGATATGCGACTTATATTCAAATACAAACGTAATAGTAAATCATCTTATTTGATATTACATACTTCGAATCACCGCCATCTTGTTTTTTATCAGTCAAAAGTCGGGCTAAATCCCTCAATATTTTATGAAAGCCATCTTTTTAAACGGAGTTCTGACATACGAATCTTATTTTTCGAGTGAGTTATGGATGAAACATGTTCCTTATTTTATGTGAACATTCAGCAAACCGACAAAGTAATGAATTCTATGTTTTCAATAGTTACATATCTTCCGAGTCTTCAAGAATCGATTGGAAAAAAATATTTGATTCTATTCTAAAATCATCAGGTATTCGAAAATGTCCAGCCCTACACACAAGTAAACTTCTTTCCTACCTGAGTTCAACTCGGCAGCCGAAGGATTCCAATAATAATTATCACTCAAATCTGCAACTCTTGTCTACTTCGAAGCCAAATCTGAGTATGTAAGTCGCACAACCTGTCTCGTGTGGAACAAAGCGTAAAAGTGATCTTTGATCAAAACTGTTGTGAATATGTTTTCATCTTCATAGATTTGTGCATCTCCTGAATTGGTAGGGTTTAGATAATTTCAGGTTTAATCAATAAAAGATGAAAACCGGTAATACGAATTCATCATACACTGCGCCAGCAAGGACGTATACGATACGATATTTCACCCCGAATACAACACGCAAGATTCGCGAAACGGGTTTTCAAATTAATGCTTATTTATTTAACTTAATTTGGTACGTGCGAGTAATTCCAATTCTTTACGTTGCGAAGTAATACTTGAGTCCAAATCATTACCTATGCCTATGACGTCACCATGGCCTAACAGCTAGCTTGTGCAAACAACACATGTCATAAGATCAATTTCCAACATTTTTGTGCCTGCAGTTTCACCCAGTTATTTCTATCTGGCCCTCGAGTATTAAAGGTTGCACCTCCCTGGTTTAAAGTGTTTACATGTAATGAAATCTGAGGCAAACACTAATAAACTGGCGCGACATGAGGCCTGAATTCGAGATTTTAAATCTATGATGTCTATTATAATCTATTATAAAATGCGAAATTATTTCTTGCAAAGTTCCCATATCAAAGTAGTTCAAATTTACTAAAAGGGGAAAATTCACGGCAATCTGAAGTCTATTCGTCAGCCTCCAATACCTCTAACTCAGGGGTCGGGAACCTTTTTGGTCAAGAGAGCCATAAAAGGTGAATATTTTCAACTGCATTTCTGTGCGAGCCATATAGCATTTCTTCACTCAATCAGGCCTGAAATTTTTACTCAAAAGTCAACACATACAATGTTAATATACATTTAATGTGACTACATGATGCTGCATGTTATCGCTGCGGGCCTTGAACGGCTGCTCACATGCATTACAAGTTGAAATCTATTGTACTCATCACCTTTCTTTTGTTTCGGCATCTCTGTACTAATTTTAAAACTAGCTTTGCTAGTCCGATCTGAATATGACAAATACTGTAACTCAGTGGTTCCCAAACTTTTTCGAGTTGGGACCCACTATTTATTACCACAGCTTATGGCGACCCACTTAACTTAATTTTAACCTAATTTAATTTATTTTTACTTCATAACTTTATTTTTTTTTTATGACATAACACAGAACACAGCAATGGCTAATCATCGCAAAACTACCGTGTTTCCTTGAATCTTCCTCTTCCTCCTCGATAAGACCTTATAGCATATATGACTAGTAAATGAATGTGATGTCACCGTATACTGCTAATTTGTAGATTGTCTGTCTCTAAATTGTAAGTCACCCTTCAGCTTCAATGCCCACGTTAATGAAGATGCGTTAAAAATCTCTATATGTTTTTCTATTCGTAGATTTCCACAACACACAGAATACAAATCTTAAAACATTTATCCAGACTTGCTTCCAATGGTTTACATCCACACTAGCTTAACATTGAAAGATATAGAGTCGTATTTATACGTCGATCATAAATCTAATTAAATACTGTAAACGTGAGCTCGTGATTCACGTTATAAACAGAAACTCCTATTGTCTCAATAAGGGTAATTATGTACATCGTACGGATGGGAACTTAGATATAATTATTTCAATCAGTGCCAAAGGTCTTGAGAATATAAATTTTAATTTGATATTGACTGGGTGGAACATGTTATGTTCTTAAAACTGGTGTAATTTGATTCCTAAGAAAGTCTTTGTTCGAATTTTGGGAAAAACTAACTTTGTTTTGATGATTTCAACATGAAATGGGGTACATTTGAGGGTTAGTTGCTATATTATCTGATATCTCCCTCCAGATAATTGGAAATTTAAGATTTGGCACCTCTAATAAATTGAAAATATATAGAAAAATACAATACACAATGCTAAAATTAATGATATAGGTCAAAAAAATGTATATGATCTACAATGAGACAAGACATTGAAGTAAAGAAGAATTTATAGAAAGGGTAAAGGTTGTAACGTAAAAGTAAAGAAGGATGGCGTATTTTTATTTCAAAAATTTTGGTTTGGACAGTTAAAACATATTTTCAATTTAATGTATTTCGCTAATTTAAAATACTTATACTCGCTTTATCGCATTGTTACGATTTTGTAGACCTAGTTGGACAATATATGCTTGTCCCATGTCGGGAAGAAAAAAACGCATTTTCAAGATTATGCCATTTCAGGGCTTTTTTGAAAAAATAACGCTTTTGGATACAACTTTTATTAAACGAGCTTATCATTTTACCGTTCTATATGACGGCTTTGTAAATAATTTAAATGTAGGCCAATGTAAAGTAAAAACGGAAAATGTGAAGTTACAAAATCACAGCTAAGGTGTCGTCTTTAGATGCGTCCCACTTTGAAGTCACAAAAATATGGCAACCCTACATATGATTAAGCGGTCTTATTACCTTTCCTTTCTCCCGGAATGAATATAGAAATTATATCTTAGAATTTGATGTTACTGATAACATATGGACACAACTCTTCGATGTTTTTGGTCATAAAGCTCGAAATACCACGGCATCTGGCGATAGCATGTTGAATGGTCAGAAACATTTCCAATTTGACCGGAAAAAGGGGGGAAATGCTTGTTTGAAACACAACAAAGTACTGTTTTGCTGATTCAACTTATAGGAACACTTCTATATGGCATTCGATCTTCGTGCTCATATATCTGAGCATCGTTTGTTTCATACTTCACAGAGCTTTTTTTTATCATGCATTAAGGCGCTTCAATCGCGAAACAAAGGATCACTTATAGTGCTTGAAGTACCACGGCATCGAACGATGACATTTCGTCGTCAATAACGTTGTGCATCATGAAGTTTATTTTATTTCGTTGGGTCATTATAAAATACTATTTGACTTTCGTGTCCGTGTATTTGAAAACGCTTTTTTATTGTCCTCTGGCTTAGAGATAAAGCTGGACCTTATCTTGCATGAAGACCTTTATATGGTATAATAAGGAACACCAGTTTTTCAGTTGTAGTGCTGAAAGTCCCATGGCATCGAACGATGACATAGTTCGTCGTCAGTAACGTTGTACATCATGAAATCAACGTATTGTTTGATTGGTTGTCCGACGTCTATGGTTATATTCGTAAAAAGCGGTTCCCGTTTGGTTGACAAGCGTTTGTATCTGCAAAGTAGGATTATAAAAAGGTCGAATGTTTATATTAAAATAAAAGTTTAATCTGAAAAATTACAAATAATATTCTGTTTTTGAAGCAATATTCACCAAAGTATTTCAATAAAAAAGATCTTTAAAAGCCAAGAACGTATATTCTCCTCATTTTCTCAGTTTTTTTCGTCCTTTTCGTCAAAACCCTCGGAAGCGTTCAACTGTGTTGCGTGCAACTGTTAACTCATAACTTCAAAACAAGCCGGTAGGCGCCCAGGATCTCCGCTGAAACATGAGGCGACCTCGCTTCAGTAAACCATTACCATCCACGCAAATCTGCGCCTACGACGACAGCGTATTGCAGTGACCGGGATCCGAAACTACCAGTTCATTTTGAACGCTGCGCGTCTCGTCGGTATCTTTTTCAGGGGCGGTATACTGCAGTTAATAATTAATCATGTTCACTAAATGTCCTAAGTCCCCAGTTGATGGATTAACGAGATGGAAAATGGCTTGTTCGGAAGAGTATTTACTTCTGCGTATGGGAGGGTAGCAATCTCGTTATTCTAATTTTCGAGGAAGTTCACGAGATAATGACGACAAAATGTGAAAAATCTAGAAATTTTTTCAACGATCAGCGCGTTTTTCGCTGATACCATGGAAACGAAACAGCAATCCAAACTTTCGGTGAAACGCACATTACTAGGGTAACAGGATAACCCACCCAATTTCAATCAGATGGGCCCAGCAGTTCAGACGCTACAGCTAAAGCTGCTAAACAGACAGAACAACTGAGAATAAGAGTCTAGACTTAGAGTGTTGAATATTTATGTACGGGGGGATTGCTGGACACAGAGTGGTTCAGGCTTCCTCCACCATCAAGTCCATATTTCTGAAAACAAACAACTGGCTAACTAATCCCATACCCGTCCTGGACTGACAACCAGACGAGAGGCCGTGGTTTGCAATATGATAACCGCCTCGTCAGATTTCCTCCTCCTCGGAATAAATATGTAAATCCTATCCTATTTTGTCAACGGGGTTGGAGTTGATACCGTTGGTTTCAATTCGGGGCTGGGTCCCAGCTTTCAAGCGTAACGTACTTATCAATGTATTTTATAGCACTTCACGCCCTTGGGAATGTGCACAGTGAACTTGATTTACAGCGGTGGTTTGAAATAAGCTTTGCACAAATTAGTTAAAGACAACGTCCTTCGGTTAGTTAGAGTACTAGGCTCACCTTAAGGTGTTTAATCCTTCGTATTTCATCCGCGTAATGGCGTGAGTCATCAATGCAAAATGTCCTTTATTTTCTGCATTTGATTTTTCTTTTTTGTGTCGAATCATATGATATGAACAACTTTTCCCGTAAGGATTATGAAGCTGATATCCTGAATGGTAAATGCTATATAAACAAGGGAGAAATATATAGACACGAAGACCAAAACGAGGTAGTATCAAATATTTTACAGTACCGGCTTGGCGGTGTGGGACGTCGTGCTAAGCGTTAAGAATACGCTCACCAACGCACCTCCAATTACCCTGCGTGGGTCCGCAAATTTGAATTCCTTGCGGGGTTAATATTGTGCAAAAGGATTGCTAGACTCCTCGCCACCGTAGGTCGGTTACAGCATCCTCCACCATCAAGTCCATGCATCTAAAATCAAGTAACTGGCTAAGTGATCCCATACCCGACATGGTGAACCGGGCGAGAGGTCGTGGTTCAACATATGACAAAGCTGTTATATCGGCTTTTCTTTTCCCCGGGATAAATATGTAAATCCTATCAACCGGTAGTCTGACCATCAGATCACTGAGATGTGATCACGGCAGGATAAAAACAATCTTAAGACAATGAAACGTTCAAATCAATTAATCATGTTGTCGAAGATATGATAAGATTTACGTATCTATCCTGGAAAAAAGGAATAAACATATGGCAAACCACGGCCTGTCGTCCGGTTAGCAGAGGAGAAAAGATAATAAAGAAAGGATTCATAGGTCCACTTCGCGTTCAATAGCACTTTAGAAAAGGATAGGTAAACGTGAAAATTACATTGAGCAAAAGATATTTGTTTGTTCTCCCAAAGAATGCGTATCAAGATGGCGGACACCGGAACGTAGTTTGTGTACCAGGTAAGGGTTAGGCCATAATTTTAGGTATAAATACTACGGGAGTCACATGGCTAGTCATGACTGAAGCCTATGGGCAGGCGGTATATTCACTTTGCTAACACAGACAGTCTCAAACTCGTAATCGAACTAAAATAAAGAAAATTGGAATAAAATCATGGCTTAACCCTTACCTGCTACACATACTACGTTCCGGCGTCCGCCATCTTGGTACGCATACTCCATGAGTACCATTTATTTATATATATATATATTGTGGTGAATGGAATATGGCGCCGAATAGCGTAGTTAGAAACTACAAAAAGGAAAATTCGTACAGCTTAACGTAAAAAATAAATTGAGGAAAAGTCACGGGCAAGTGGGAAGTGGAATCTTAAATCAAATAGGAAATTCGAACCGAATTACCAAGAAAATGCGCGTCGATATTGGATAGAGCGATTTACGAGTATTGAAAATATAAATAAATAAAACACAAAGCTGGGATCAGAATAGAAGCGGTTACGAACTATGAAGTGATAAAAAATTTGAAACTTATCAAAATAAAAAGTTCGAGAAATTATTCACCAAAGTAAGAGTGTGCAACCTGCGGACCGCAGAGAAGTGCCAATTTTGAGTGGTGTTCTGTCCGCGAAACGAGTTTTTGATCTAGTACGTTCTAGTAATTTAATTGCGTTACAAACCGTTTACCTGAGCTCGTGCGACCGAACAATGCATGTCATAGAATCAACAACCAAAATTTTCGTGCCTGCAACTACTAGAGAGCTTATGTTAAAAAAAGTGCGGCCCGCGGTTTCCCACAGTTATTTCTATCTGGCCCGATTGTATCAAAGATTGCATATCCCTGCACTAAACGAAAGAAAGATGAAGTTAATGAGACTAGAAAGCATCAATTAGAGGAAGAACTTTTTATTCAAACTGGAGATAGTAGGTCGTTATATTCTATGCAACCAGAAGAAAAGTTCGCCAAATGGTTATGCTGTCTTATCAACTTTCTCCTCCCACGAGATGAAAACCATTTCCCAATAAAGCAAACTCACCCTGATTCCATAAGCGTAAGTACAAGTCGTTATCTTCACCGCCCCAACCCCAGTAAATGTTCGAGAAACCGTTGGCGCACATAAATTGTGATTTTGTAACCATGACCACACCTCCGAAGTATGGTACAGTTTGAGTCCGCCGGACTAAAACATATATTGAAATTAATATAAGAATAAATATGTAGAGAGGATTGTAGGCCTACTGGATTTCTCAAATTTGGACTAGGTCAGCGGGCATTTTCGATATCGCATATTTTTATTAAAAATTAAATGCCGAATACTTGGAAGATATCCAATTGTATTTAACTTTTTATTGCGATGGGTTTTCCAGGCACGTATATTGATGAAACATATAAACTATTACTCGTACATTTTGTTCGTTCAAAAAGTCTGAACCACCTATTTTACACCCCTTCATAAAAGCAACTAAAAAATATTTGCAAGTTGTTTGAGAAAGTAGAAACTATACTCACTATTACTTGGTCTACATTTCAGGGTGTAGGATTTATAACGATAGAAGAATTTGTCAACGTAAACCGACAAACTGCGAGGGTTGTCTTCAGTTGGGCACCAGTACAGACATTCATCGTTCTCCAGAAGCATATCGACATCATGGAAAACATAGCAATCGTATTTTCGATCTGTGAAACAATGGACCGATTAAAAGCACGGATTTGACAAACTGACTAATCGTTGTAATCGTATTTGACCATTAAAAATGAATGAAAACCAATCAGACACGTGGATTTAACATTTCAGCTAATCATCGTTGTTCAATATTACGGAAACGCAGCACACATATTTTCGATCTGTTGAAAATGAATCAACCAATTAAAAGCGTGGATTTAATATTGTAGCCAATCATAAAATAGGAAGTTTGAAATCAATTTTGTTTTTAATGTATCCCCCTTCAAATATATATTTACTAAGAGTTCCGCTATGAATCAACAGGGAAGGGAAGGGATTTAACCTGCAAAAAATGTGACCATAGATTCGCTTGTTCATCGTGGCATGATTAGAATTTTAGTGCTACATACTTTGGTCCGAACACAGCTATGTCGAAGGCCATTTCGACTCCAAAGGATTTCAAAATGTATACCGACGCATACGTTCAATGACGTTAATGCCGTTGTTATTCAAAATACCTAGGGCTAAAGTCCTGAAAGGAAACAATGGCCATCGGATGTATATATGAATTTTAGATTTTGTATTATGATGCCAAGATTTTGCATTCTGACGTCAGATTATTGTACGAATTCTGGGATTTGGTTAAGAGTGCGTTTTCTTTGTTCTATTCGTCGAAAGGCTATTTATTGGTCCTTAATAATAAATCCTATAAAATCAAAGCCGAATGAACCTTAGATGATCATGATTATGACGTATCGATTATGAAGTCAGTTTTTGTATTATGACATCACGTTTTCTATATTTTTACCACCTCGTTGAAATGTTTTGTTCCAAAATGTTAATTTACCTTTACTCGCTTCCAGAAATCCAGCATTCATTATTTTGGCCTTGTTGAACAGATGTTCCCCGCTCTGCCACACAACGTACACAGTATAGTCCAATTGCTGTCGCTGCCATATTGGGTGCATATGCGCTAAGAGTACTCGGAGCTGATGTATGCGCCCGCGTAAGGGAATGATAATAGCAAGTTTGAATCGTGGACGACAGTGCTTTGGAGCGTATTTCCCACCGATTGACAACCTCGGATTATCTATAGAAATTTTTTCGAATGGCGGTGGGGTTAAATCCAAGTAATCCTGCCTTCGCAAATTGCCTTTTAGTCCGGGAGGTTTTTGTGGGCACAGTGGCAAGTCATACTCTTCCAAATTATCGGGATTATCATCCAAAAATAAAGTGAAATTATCCAGTGAGAAAACTTTTGTGTCCGCGTTTTCGGTTCGATTAAAGAAATCAAAAATAAAATCTTCTTTTGATTTAAAACTGTTTATGAGCGAATGAATATGATCCCGATTTCCTTTAATTGTTTTATACGTCACAATAAAAAATGACGCAATAATGAAACCCCATAGTATCTTTTTCATTCTCTTTATGTATGAAGCAAGGTGTAGAGGCATTTTTTTTTATATTAAAATTAGGATTATCGATTATTTTAAAAATATCTTGATTTAAAAAGGATAAAAATATCGGTTGGTTTTACAACAGCGCGAACTTTATCGCGTTTTGGACGACATTCGTATACGTTGACGGGCCTTGTTTTGTCACTGTGACGTTGTATGTAATGATGTAATATTTGGATGACGTAATCAGATGTGGGTTGGAAATGACATATGCGAAAATGGGTATTCCACGCCGACTAGAAGTACTTGGCGGCGATTAGTGCACTAGCCCCCAATATAATTATAAGTTTATTTCGGATTTCGAAGGCCGTTGCTAAAATACCAGCGAAATTGCAATGTACCGGTCTTTATCTGAAGACAAATGTCGTCCGAGGAAGTCTGACCTTGGTCAGATGAAACGTCACGAAAATAATAAAGGGTCCATAAAGTCTCACAAAAAAAAAATTTGAAATTGCAAGGGGGATTCATCGATACCATATATTATTTTGGCCCTCACGGATGTATTAAATGAAGTAAAAATACAATTACTGATTAAAAAACAACAAACCTGGTTAAGATGTATTGAGAACTGACCTCATAACCAAATTGAAATTCTAAAAGGACTTTATAGACACCCCGTATATTGTCAGCCGGTTCCTTCACAAAAGTCATATTTTTCAGCCGGTTCTGTTACAAACATAACATTGACAGTAACCAGTAATGCTAACCGGTTCGCTGATCCCATAAAATTCCGTGAGACGGTTCTATAGAACCGGTGCGAACCGGCTGAATCCCACAACTGACTGCAACCAAGAACTTGATCCTGTTAATCTGCGGTTCATTTCATTCGGGTGTACAATAGCATCAGTGGCGTAGGCGGGTGGTTTTGGGGGTCAAACGCCCCCCCCCCCCCCCCCCCCTTTAAGATGTCAAAAAATAAAAGCATCTTTCTGTATCATACATAGCATTTTTCGTAGCTTGAAACGTTTTTTAGACCCTCAAAACTCATGAAAACACAGGTTTTCCGGCCGGACCCGCTAGCTGTTTCAATCCCCCCCCCCCTTTGAAATTTTCTGGCTACGCCCCTGAATAGCATACTATATCCATAACCCCCACACAAAACAAATAACGGCAATCTTGTCGTCCGGCGCACTTCACCCGAAAGCCAAACTCCTACTTTAGCAGCCTAGCGTATTCATCGCATCCGCCCTTAGGCAACAGCGCGAACGAATGGCTTAGTTAGTCCGTTTCGTTTTCATTATTTAGCGTGGATTAAGAAAGCCAATCAAACAGTAAAAAGTTGCAGAAAATTTCATTGCATTCTATAGTCGTTCAAATAATCTACATGGATTTCTTACTATTATAGCGAGACCTAGGTCCGGGTCGCGTCGTTCGTTGACTGGTCGAGTGACGCCTTGATGCGGATCTGAACTGCAACAAAAAGCTTTTGCCTCAAACTAAGTTCAGTTATATTCTGTTTATCGCTATTTTTATATTGTTTTAATTGAAGAATACATTACACAACCAAGATTTAAACATTTTAAATAAAAACTTGGAAGCGCAGTCTGGGCACGCGTTAAGTCATAATACTGCCACACACTCTACACTGGGGGTGTGCAATCTGCGGCCCTCAAGAAAAAATTGCGCTGCCCGCTGAGAAGAGCCAATTTTGAAAGATGTCGACCCGAAAAACGAGTTTTTAATTCAATTTGGTACATGCGAGTAATTCCAATGCCTTTGCGTTGCGAAGCCTATACCTGAGTCCAATTTATCATCTATGTCAGTGGTAGGCAACCTACATCCCGCGGGCCGGATCCAGCCCGCGGAGCAATATAATCCGGCCCGCGACGCTTCACCGAATTATAGTAACAAATTATAGCTGTTTTGTCGATTATATTCTTTACGCAAAAGAATTTACGTTAACACTAAAATAGATTATAACGTAACAAGTATATAATTCACAATTACTCGTTTAATGCCCCTATAATTTAATTATAATTTAGACAAATGGCAACAAAACGCAGAAAAGTTGATGCTAAGTGCAAATGGTTCAATGGCGCAAAAAATATTCAAATGGTCAGTCTTCGCGCTCTGCTTAAAATTTAACTTCTGATCTGTGTGATAAAATGTGATTCATCAGTCATCCATTCGATTTTTAACTTTCTAAAAATCTGTGCGGCCCGCCAATAACTTGCAACCTTTAATTTTGGCCCGCGAGCGACAAAAGGTTGCCGACCACTGATCTATGTCTATGACGTTACAATGCCTTACTAACTAGCTTGCAAACATGTCACTAGGGCTGGGCATTTTTGAATACCTGATGATTTCAGAATCGAATCGAATATTTTTTTCGAATCGAATCTCCGATACGTGGGAGATAAATAATTGTATGTAACTTTCTTCTTGTATTGGGTTCTCCAGACACATAAATTACTGGAAACGTAAAATACATCACTCAGACAAATTGATTGCTGAGCGTTCACGCACAATAAAAAACTTGTTTTCGTCAATAACTCACTACAGAAAAGAGTCATATGTCAGAATTGCGTTGAAAAATTATGGCTTCAATAAGAAGAATTGAGAAATTTAGCTCGACAATTGGCAGAAAAGACAAAAAACAAGATGGCGGCGATTCGAAATTTCGCTCTGAACCGAATCGAATAATTTACTATTCGATTCGAAATGCCCATCCCTACATATCACATGCGCATGCACAAGATCAATAACAAACATTTTTATGCCTGCAACTACCAGAAAGCTTATCTTAAATAAAGGTGCGTCCCGCGGTTTCACCTAGTTATTTCTGTCTGACCCTCCTGCATTAAAGCTTGAACTTCCCCCCGCCCTACACTACCAAGTGGCGAATGATGGAACGGAAATGATCAGTCCCTGATTTCCAACTTTTCCGTATATTGTCTCTAATCCACATTTGAATGATGCTATAACCAAACGCGTCAACAGCACCGATGGCCTGTTGCTGACAACCACAAGTTTTTTTTTTCAGTAATTAGATGGCCTGGAGTGAATAGTCGTTAGCTTTCTCAAAAACAAGTCTATAATCAGATTAATGACGCTGTTCGTTTGTTGGTTGGAAACGATGCAAAACTTGCCGTTCAATTAAAGTGTCAATTGCAACCTATTCAAGTAAACAAACATGAATTGAGCCATTAAATAGCTCTCTTTTATATGGGTCATTCTGCCTATATAGAAAACAAATATTTTATCGTAATAGCATTCACACAAATACAGACCCACTGCCTTATCGAAGTGTGCCAGTAAAAGGTTAGGCAATGCCAAATGGAAGAAAATAGCTTTTTATATATAGAATGCTTGTTCAGTTCCTTGTATGGGACAAATTTGTGAATGCGTACCATAAAAATCAGTACTCAGTGTGAAAACGCACTGTAGTAGAGTAATCACCTAATAATTGAATATTATGTTAAAAGCAGTTTTTAATTGTCGTTAAAAATTTTGAAAGAACTTTAATGCTTTTGCAGTAGCTACATATATTGCCCGAGTGTAAGTCAATTCAACTTTATTTTTTCCAACCAGAAAGAAAGTCAGTTTTGCACAAAATACGGGGAAAAAAGATAGCTAGAATAAAGATGATGATGAAATGGAAAATATCAGCCTCTCCGTTCAAATTTCTTTATATTTTTCTATATTGTCTCTAGTCCACATTTGAAAAGTACTATAACCAACTTTCTCTCAGTGGCGCAAACAAACGAGTCAAGAGCACAGGTGGCCTGATGCGGTCTTGCATACTACTGACCTACACAAAAGAATAATTAAATTGGCCATTCTGTTGCTATACAATCTATCAGTATGTTCAGAGTGTTTTGTGAAAAATCTTCTTTCTCCGGGCCCAAGGGTGTAGTCGACCCTAAATTGTTTTTAATATAATGACGTAATACGACGATTACACGTGCCTTTTGCACCAAACAAGGCTACATAAAGGCAGTCACATATCTTAAGCCTTACTTCGCTGTCGAAGCTATACAAGCGCGCATTATCATCACAATTGGTTCATTTGGTGAAGCAGTGATTTCCCTCCCCCCTCCCCCCTATAGGAGGTGAACACCCCCCCCCCCCCCCCCTAATTTTGTCTGCGGGCCAATTACGTAACGATTTAACCCGCGTAACGATTTAAAATGGCCCGCCAATCTTGAGCGCAATAGTTTTACACTTTATGCATTTACTTTCGAGTTCTAGATACCTTCTATCGTTACAACATTGTAGCAGTTTAAGCACGTTTATTTCGTAACAATTGAATTATACCGGTATCTTATGTATACGTATCCGTATTAGGATTTCACACTGCAGTATTTTAGATATCAGCCGTATATTAATAAGAAAGCTTGAAGATGTCACAAAACGAAAACTAGGGACTGGAAACAGACTTTTTTAGATGAATGGCAGCGTTTTTATTTCTTTATTGAAAAGAATCAAACTCCAGCGATTTGTCTTCATTGCCAACAAAATATTTCAGTTCTGAAGCAACACAACATTATGCGCCATTATGATCAGTTGACGCGCGTATTTCAAAACTTAATTCATTGTTTTTAATTCATACAAAAGTAAAACAAACATGTTCAAAAAAATTTGAAATGAAAGTGAAACTACGTTGTTGGCCAGTTATAGTGTAGCCCGCAACATTGCTAAAAAAAATCGCCCGTTTGTTGAGGGGCAATTTTCGCGCTAACGTATGCTGCAATTTTTGGAAGTCATTTCTCCTGATATAAAAAGTTAATTTTCCAGCATCAGGCTTTCTAACAACACAATTATGAACCCTAACAAATCAAAACTTTGGCCGAGACTGACAGACAATCTTCTAAATGCGTTATTGGAAACGTCAGTGTACATAACGATCGTTTCAATATTATGTTGTTGTTCTTGTTAGTAGTATTCTTCTCTTTCGTCATGATGAAATCGCTTTTCTCTTCGAATACTGAACCAATTGCTTTGAAATTTTCAGTGGTTAAAAATTGATGTTTTTGCCAGAAGACCATTACTTTTCCTTGTTTCAAAAATTTTTGTGGACTT